TGAGATACAATAATATATTACATGTGAATGTAATAGCTTGTCACCACGTAAAGTCGTAAACGTATAAATTTGAATACATTTTGAAATAGTCTATAGTCTATACAGGTCATAGATGCCATAAGTTTTGCCAATGCAGCTACTTTAAGTGGCTTATGTTTTTTAAATGCATCGTTTTGAATGATGTTTGTATTTATTTTGTTATAAATGTATTATGTGATCTTTATACACTCAGTGCATAAAAACTGCTTTGCATGAGAGCCCAATATTTAATACCTGATAAGAACATAAGAAAAAAAGTATCATGGGGGACCTACGGGCACCACTTAGGCACTGTTTTCTATATGGAGGGAGCAAGTAGCTACAAGTTGGACAGTGGGGCTTTAAGCCTTCTTGTATATGCATATTTAATATTTATAAGAGCCAGAGAGTTTATTTTTTACATGAAGGAAAAACAATATATTAAATATATTGTGTGCTATAAGCATATTGTGCTTCAAATTGGATTTTAAAATTGCAATATTATGAAATAAAATATTATAGTATCGTCCTTGGGGGGGGGGGGGGGCTTCCCAAAGCCTTTTTTCAATGACAAATGACAAAAATCAGTGACAAATCTGCTGATAACCAATCAGAAGCAAGGATTTCAGTAGCTTATAATAAAAACTGTCATTTGTCACTGATGAAAAGTTTTGTGAAACGCCCCCCTAATGCTTTGAAAAGGATGATAAATCTATTTCTTTTCTTGTGGTAATAAATTAGTCTACCTTAAAATATTGATGACTATGATAATACATGGTGATACATGTAATACAGTTTTATGTATTTTAAAAGTGTAATTTGTGATTTACAAACATGTACATTTATTTCCAAGGGCTTCATACATCTCCCTATTTGAGATTTGTTTGTCTTTCTTTTTATTTGAAAAGGAAATCCTATCCATTCTCGTAATATTCAACATCAATGTACTTAACAACAAATTCAACAATGATTATTTAATCAGTATGTGAATGAAATGTCAACATTTATGAAGAGGGTGGACGATATAATTTACTACTTTCAAACTAAATGATTATGTGGAATTATGTTTAAACCAATTTTTTTCTTCTTCATGATTTTCATCCTTGTAAATGTATTCCAGACTACTGACTGAAATCACTTATTTGTTTTAATCAGTATGTAAATGAAATGTAACATTTTTATAAGATGGTCAACAACAAATGAAAATGTAATTTTTTATGAGTTTTAGCTTTATAAATGTATTTCAGATCATTGATTGAAATCAGTCATTTGTTCTTGATGCTCAATCAATCATGCTATGTTGGACAATCACTTTATAATAATGTACTGCCTTTTCTTGCATCTGTGAGTGCTGCAAGATCCAGCAATAGCAATTCTATGCAAAAATCAACTATTCTTAGTCAGTAACACTTGTAAGATAAGAAAATTATAGAAACCAATTGAGTGATTTTTTTTTTTAACCGTAAACATTAAGGCCAGGGTTACATGTAATAAGGCCATCTCCCACCTGGGGGGGGGGGGTAATCCCGGCCTTGGAGCATCAAATATAGAGATTTGGCATGTAAATAGAGTTACTCAATACGAATGTCAGTATGATATTTAGTTTTCATAACTATTTCTGTTTTCAAAGAGTCACCTGATTAGTTATTCATAATTCGTATAATGTGATCAAGGCTTCATGTGTATTAACATAATCATGCAATTTTGACACACGCAGCTCAACTTTTTGTTACTTAATGCTGCTTGGTATAACCCATTGTCCAAATGTTATGAATTTCTTGTCAAAATATTCTTGTTAAGGATGAGCTTTCTTCACTCAACCAAATACCAAATAACAACTCTTATTTATTGATTTCAGCAGGTCATTTGTGTATGTGAAGCCAAAAGGTTGGTTACTTGTATACTTTCACACAAAGGTATTGTGTGTTTTTTGGCTCTGAAAAAATGTGTTTATTTGTAAAGGTATTGGTGGTACTAGTTCCATTTCGGAACCTTGTTATGCTCTGATATTTCATATCTTCGAATATTCAAATTTCACAGGTTTAGCTGATTGTTCGTTAATCTTTTTTTCTTGTCGTGTGAATCCATGTGTAAATCCTGTCCGTACAAGTACACTGTAGTACTGCTTATCAATGCCAAATGATGAAGTGATGTTTAATGTACTCAGTAACCAATCTGAAAATTATATTTACTCAGATTTCTTCTACTTAAGAATGTTGTTTTGACAGTCATCTTTCATTTTACTTTTTTACCTCCTCCCCCCCCCCTTTCCTGAAGAGATAAGTAGTGATAGATATGGGGAAGGGTGAGAGAGAGAGAGAGAGAGAGAGAGAGAGAGAGAGAGAGAGAGAGAAGAGAGAGAGAGCATGAGGGAGAAATATGGGAAAGAAATGGTGAGAAATAAGGATACACTTTAACTGGATAGAGACGGGGAGATGGATAGAGAAAGAGGAGGGGGAGAGGAAAAAATGGAAATCGTGATAAAGAGAGCAGTAGGGGAAAGAGTTAAAGTTAGAGCTACAGATTGAAAAAAGAGGAACATCAAAAGAGATTGAAATTGAAAGAGAATGAAAGAAATAGGAAGATGGATAAAGGAGTATGAAGAAGAGAGAAGGAGATACGTACATGTATCTAGGAAGAATAAGAGGTCTGGGGGAAAAAGAGAGGGGGGCAGAGTGAATTATACTCACATAATATTAAAGATCTGTGGTGAAAATAAGATATAAACCAGAACTTTGATGTATGAAAATAAAAATCTAAATACCGGCACACACTCCCCCCCCCCCCCCCCCCCCCCCTCTCTCTCTCTCTCTCTCTCTCTCTCTCTCTCTCTCTGATGTCTGTCTATCTCTTTCTCTCTCACCCTCCATTTCCCTCTCTGTAAAAAAAACTTTCACTGTCCCCCTCTCTCTCTCCCTCTCTCTCTATCAGTCTTTCTCTCTCTCATAAACATACTCTGGCTCTGTCTATATACGAGTTTATAAGTATTGTCTCCTCTGTGACACTTCTTACACTCTCTATACGATTATAGCTCTCTCTCTCTCCAGCCTCTGACATAATATTCTAGCTCTGTCTTGATGAGTGTGTTTGTCGATCGAGAGAGAGAGAGAGAGAGAGAGAGAGAGAGAGGGGGGGGGGAGTCAAACAGTAATTATTGGATCAGGATAGTATAATAATCTCGTTTATTAGTCCATATCCGTTTAAAATCACTAGACATCAAAGTGGTTAAATGGAATCTAGATAAGGCCTTTAAAAAAAGACGTTGTATTGCCCTTTAGGTGCGAAACAATCGGTCGGTTGGTCGGAAATCTTTCTTCTTCTTTTTTTACTCCCTCTTTGGGCTGATTTCTCAGTTTTGAATGCTTCAACACATATTTTTTCTAAAAAACGGTTAAAGAAGAAAAAACTAACGTAGATTTCAAGATTTTGGAGGCGGTTGCAAAGGGCATTACAACATCTTTTGTTGAAGGCTTAATGCTACGAGTACGCATTTATAAGGAGTTGAATTCAAATGCAGTAATCTTGTAGGTATGCTATCCACATTGTATGTAGTGAAACCTGCTTATATTATTGCGATCAATTAAGCCGACCCCACCCCCCCCCCCCCCCCCCGCCACTTCAGAGAAAAAGCAGAGACTACTGAGACTGCTTTTCTTTTTTCTCTTAGAATAGTGTTTCTCATACTTTAAAAACATGAACTAAAAGAGCCTGTACACAGAGGCCACCTGTCTAGAAAGACTGCTTTTCTTGTCTGCATAGACGTACTGAGCATCTTTTGTGAGCTAGAGTGGCGATGTAAGCATTATGTTTGTTTTTTTGTATACATGTACTTTAACATAATTATGGTTAATGCTCTTCTGGATCTCAGCAGATAAAGGCGTGAGTGATATTACGATGACAAATTTAATAAGAAGAAAACAAAATCACTTTTAGAAAAGGAAAATTAAGCTTCCCCAAATTAATATCTGCTTATAAAGATCAAACACGCTCTGTGTTGAATTGCTATTAGGTTTGATATCAAAGGACATGAATGTCGTTGAGAAAAAGGCTTTCGATTACAAACAATCTTTTGTGATAAAAGTTCACTTTCGAATTCAAATATTCGCGAATTTCATATACAAGACAAAAACCGAAATTACGTGAAACGCAAGTTCTATCCCCAATATTATCTCGTTCATTAGTAGACTGATAAATGCAGACCGTTTATCGAAACATTTAATTTGCTCCAACCCTTGTTTACTAAAATCTCTAAAATCAGTAATTACGATTTCGCATTTCCTTTTAATCAGCACAAGTAATGCTTTTTAGTGGACCCCTCTGTTTCCAAATTGTAATCCTAAATGTTGATAATTGATTTGTAGCCTAATGTTCAGTGTTGGAAACAAAAAATAATTGAATTGAATTGAGTATTAGTGGCTCTCAAGTAAGAGCAACGGGTGAGGTGATTTGATATTTGCTACGGCAATAATACTGCGAGCTCAGTACTTGTTGTCAAAAGTATAGAGTTAGTGTTAGGGCTGCATTAGATTTATGTGTATGCCGGTGTCTGTGTATGCCGGTGTCTGTGTATGCTATCAATCCAGCATTGAAGCTTGTGTATGAATAAATGCTACAAGGGGATTCCCCAGCAGTCATGACGTCACTGGTTAGCCTCGTTCTACACTAGCGGCATACTAGCGTGCCATTTAAAATTATAGGCATGTACGCCATCGTGCTGTTCACATGCATGGCTCACCCATTATTGCACCATTTCTTTGAGGATGGCAACATCGAAATTGGACAATTTTGTAGCATAGTTCGCTCACATTCAAGACAGCACTATATGCTACAGAGATGCAGTATATACGTAATATGAGCCCATAAAAAGGCCATCTTGCACGCACAAGGGTTATACTTATAAACTATCCCATTTTAATAAACGAGTCCTGAGTAGATCGCTCCAGACCATGAGACTACATGATAGATTTAACTTCTGACCTTCTCAGTTTCCGAGTCTGCAGGCGGTCAATCACGTTTTGTTAAGCCTGTTCCCGGGACTAACTTTGGAGTGGATGTGAGCTGCTACATCGCAAAAGCTTGTTCTCTAATCTGTCTTCTAGATCAGTCCAAAAGTAGCAGTATTTGAGGTAAGTTTAATTTTGAACTAGTGTCACTATATACATGTAGATCTACATCAGTACATGTACATCATACTGCATTTAGACCCTATAGGCCCTATAGCCTACATGTGGAAACCACAAATGCACAGCTGGCCTTTGTTTTATCCCGCATATTTTTTGTTTTCCTCATCTGTTCTAAATCCATAATATGTTACTCCTTACGTTAATCAAACGGACAATATATAGATCCATGAAATAATGTCAATTTACGAACAATCATAATGCAACGAAATACAGACTTATAAAAAATATCATTAGCATCACATTTTTGACCGTATCTGAAAATTGTCATTGTGGAGAAAATGATTAATTGCCAAAATGGAAAGTTCAAATCGATATTGTCAATTTCTTAAATCTTCAGTGTTGTAAATTACCTATGATTGCGGTTCTCTTTCCCATATTTACAGGATGGAAGCGCAAGATGATGAAGAGCAGTTTCAAGGAGCGTTCAAGATCATTGACAACCCACAAGATGCAGACAATTTATCAGAAGTAGAATCTCTTTTCGGTCAGGAACCGGACCATGCCAGAGAATTAGCTTTTCAAGGAGACACCATAGACTCCATAGACTTCGTAGAGCTCTATTTTGATCATGGTGATAGTCCTCATCAGGAAAAGTCAACCCCATGGAATATAGCCAGAAATGTATCCTGCCCAGAGAAAATAGCTGAGCTATTTCCTTCAGATTCAGACCTGAGCAGCAGCTTCGATATGGCAGCTCAGTCCAGGTCTTCTGGGTCTGCGTTCTCTAGACCCTCGTCCATTCATAGTCTGAACATGTCTGGTTTTGGGGGGTCACATGAATCAATTGATTTGGCTATTGAGCAGGGAAAGAAAAACTCTTCAAAGATTGAAAAAATCCAGAGGGGGACGAGTAAGCGCGCTGTCAGGATGAAAGATTTCACTTCCGAGTTTCGCAACAGGATGACAGGCCTTGAACTAAGTCAGAGGGATATGGAAAACAGGTTCACGTCAAAGTGGGATCAGCTAGACCAGAAAGTGTGCAGGTGGATCGGCAAAGAGGAAGAGTATTCCGATTCCTCGCAAGGTAGATGCAAGGCTCTGCCTAAAAGCATGATTAAATGTTTGTCATGGGTCGTGCCCTATTCTGATCTCAAACGACACTCTGTACAGAGCATCTCCTCACCACCGCTGCAATTGCCATGGGTTCAAGGTCTTCAGGCCACTCTCTATCTTCGGGGCATTGGGAAAGGTCAAGGAAGCTACTTGTCCATTCGATTCAGTTGGCCAAAGAAAGGAGAAAATCCCAAAATGGCTGAAAGCTACCATGTCAACGTCATGGTCATCAACCAAGAAGATGCTTCGGAATCTATCGAGAAGAGGCTCATCTTAGATACCTGCCAAGAAGATGGAGGCTCTTCTGCCAAAAGTAGTAATCTAAACACTTCCATCCCAAAGCTTATTCCGATTAGTACAGTGGAAGACGCATCTTTGGGATATCTTTCTGATGGGAATCTCGTAATCAACATCATGCATCAGTATTGAAGATATCCAATCATCATCGTAAAACATGGCTTTATTCACGAAAGTTCATATAAGCTGAAGAGGGGACCAATAGAACGAAGTAAGCTGTTTTGTTTTACAATGTCTTGGTGCTGACAGAATATATTGTAGTTCAAGGTAATAATAGCAACCTCGCTTAAGATCCACAGTCACAGAAACAGAACAAGGGTTTGCTCGGGGGGGGGGGGGGGGGGGGGGGGGGGGGGGGGGGGGGGGGGGGGGGGGGGGGTACTCACGTATATTGGGTATACAGGGATGTGCCGCTCGGAAGGGTGACTTTTTTAGGAAAGATCCTTAGACATGGGTCCCATTTTTAAAAAAAACCCTTAGACATGGGTCCCTTTTTTCATTTATTCCTTTCCCCTCATTTTCTCTGGGATTTTGGGATTTGCTCCTAAATACTCGAGCCTACTTTGTAAATGCCTAAATCTCGAGGTGTACGTAGCTCGTAAACTCAACTAGACCCCGGGGTACCACATATATCAGGACCCCATGGACCCTATACCAGGTCCTCATATGGCATAATGCGCGCTAGGTATGGTATCCACCCGTATAGGGGTCGTACCCCCGGGAACTTGTAGCGCTTCGCGCGCTGAAAATGATATGATCGGCAGCTATACCCTGCCCTTACCCTCTGCCCAGCAGCCGGGCAGCAGAGGGGCTCAAAGGCTCAAGCAGGGAGCTATAGATAGCCGATGCTTGAGAGCTCGTTTACGTGTACGGGTACGGGCGGCTGCGGCAGATCCATGTACTGCGCTGAGCTGCATGCATCTGTACCAGCGCCATTCACCATTTTAGTGAACATAAAAGGTGGTTTTATACTAGGTGCCAAAAAAATTATGGTGTACTTTGAAAAATCTTTTAATTAAAACAGGAAAAGTCCTTCAATTAAAACACATAGGTCTAGGTGCATTACTATCCTGCATTCCTGACTGTGTAGTAAAAAGCTGTGCTTTTGATTCTTAACATTTCAAACACCACTGTACAAAACTCATTGAGGAATGCTATTCAAAGGGAAATAAAAGTGGTCTTTGTGTACAGGTTGTTTTAGTACATGTTTCTATTGCAAAAGCTATTTAAGGGGAAAAGAAAAGTGGTCTTTGTGTACAGGATGTTTTAGTACATGTTTCATTGAGAAATGCTATTCAAAGGGAAAATAAAAGTGGTCTTTGTGTACAGGTTGTTTTAGGACATGTTTCATTGCTATTCAAAGGGAATAAAGTGGTCTTTGTGTACAGGATGTTTCAGTACATGTTTCATTGAGAAATGCTATTTAAAGGGAAATAAAAGTGGTCTTTGAAGACAGGTGGTCTTTGTGTACAGGATGTATACATGTTTCGATGAGAAATGCTATTCATAGTGAAATAAAGGTGGTCTTTGTGTACAGATTGTTTTAGTACATGTTTCATTGCTATTCAAGGGAAAATAAAAGTGGTCTTTGAAGACAGGTGGTCTTTGTGTACAGGATGTTTAAATACATGTTTCGATGAGAAATGCTATTCATAGTGAAATAAAAGTGGTCTTTGAAGACAGGTGGTCTTTGTGTACAGATTGTTTAAGTACATGTTTCATTGAGAAATGCTATTCAAAGGGAAAATAAAAGTGGTCTTTGAAGACAGCTAGGTGGTCTTTGTGTACAGGATGTTTTAGTACATGTTTCAATGAGAAATGTTATTCAAAGGGAAAATAAAAGTGGTCTTTGTGTTTCATTGAGAAATGCTATTCGAAGGGAAAATAAAAGTGGTCTTTGTGTACAGGATGTTTTAGTACGTTTCATTGAGAAATGCTATTTAAAGGAAGAAAAAAGTGGTCTTTGAAGACAGGTGGTCTTTGTGTACAGGATGTTTTAGTACATGTTTCATTGAGAAATGCTATTTAAAGGAAGAAAAAAGTGGTCTTTGAAGACAGGTGGTCTTTGTGTACAGGATGTTTTAATTACATGTTTCATTGAGAAATGCTATTTAAAGGAAGAAAAAAGTGGTCTTTGAAGACAGGTGGTCTTTGTGTACAGGATGTTTTAATTACATGTTTCATTGAGAAATGCTATTTAAAGGAAGAAAAAAGTGGTCTTTGAAGACAGGTGGTCTTTGTGTACAGGATGTTTTAATTACATGTTTCATTGAGAAATGCTATTTAAAGGAAGAAAAAAGTGGTCTTTGAAGACAGGTGGTCTTTGTGTACAGGATGTTTAAGTACATGTTTCATTGAGTGGTTTAAGGCGCTTGACTGGAGATGCGAAGGTCGAGGGTTCGAATCCCGACACGGCACTAATATCCTTTGGCAAGATATTAACCTGCACTTGCTACTCTCCACCCAGGTGTTAAATGGGTACCCGGTAGGATGCGACCGTCATTGTTGGTCAAACAGCTTGTGAGCGTCAAGTAACGCCCGGCTGGAATGCTCCCCAGGGAGTGGAGATTGTGCACACAGTGTGTGCGGGCAAGCACTGAATCCAATGACCGGGGTAATAGTATATATTTGTAAAGCGCTTAGAGACATTTGTATTAAGCGCTATATAAAAATTAAATATTATTATTATTATTATTATTGAGAAATGCTATTCAAATGGAAATAAAAGTGGTCTTTGAAGACAGGTGGCCTTCGTGTACAGGTTGTTTCAGTATATGTTTCATTGAGAAATGCTATTCAAAGGGAAAAAAAGTGGTCTTTGAAGACAGGTTGTTTCAGTACATGTTTCATCGAGAAAAGCTATTCAAAGAGAAAATAAAAGTGGTCTTTGTGTACAGGTTGTTTTAGTACATGTTTCTATGGCAAAAGCTATTTAAGGGGAAAAGAAAAGCAGTCCTAATAGACAGGTGGTCTTTGCGTACAGGTTGATTTAGTACGTTTCAATACAAAATGCTACTGAAGGGGGGGATGCGGCCTTTCTAAACAGGTGGTTTTTCTCTGAAGAGGGGAGGTCGCAATAATATAAGCAGGTGACACTACATACAATGTGGGAACCCTACTCCTACTACATTTACACACACAAAATATAGGCACAGATGACCAAGAGGAAGAGTCCATATTATATACATTCATGATTAAATGAATCCAACATTTACATAGGTACAAAATATATCCAATGACATGATACATTGTACATGTAGCATACAATTTGTACATGAGACTATAGGGGCGTTGCAAGAAAGTTGCGTTTAAACGCAAATCCCAAAAATCAAACCCAAGTTACGTTCAATCCTGTTGCAGGAAAGAGTTGCGCTTGATATCAAGCAAATGTTGCAATCAATCGCAGATCAAGCGCAACTTTGCAATAAATTTGGAGGATGTGCAAAATTTGCAACTGATATTTGCAATCTATTGCAACGTAAATTTCTTGCAACGCCCCATATGTGTGTGTGTGTGTGTGTGTGTACATAGGAAAAGATATAACTATTAGGCATTGCCCACAAACAGATTTATATGGGTTGCATAATGTCAATGAAATTAATTAAAATGAGAAACCAAAATAGACTGATGTCACTAAAATTCATCTACTTCATCAAAGGCAATACAGTCCGTAGGAACCATCAGCTTTCATCAAATTTTTACTTTCAAATTTTAACAGTAGAGAAAGATTCCTAGCATTACATACCACATTCTATCAACAAATATTAAGTACATCTTCTCATGTTGATGGTGCATAGCCAATTTCACAAGGAACATGTTAACACTGAGGGGGAAATGATTCAATCCTAAGCGTGATTTATATCAGTGGAGCAATTTTATGAAATTGCGATCAAAGTACTACTACAAATTTACAGATTAACTACAGTGCATAATAGCCTTGTCACAAATTCTTTTCACTCATAATAATTGCAAAACTGAGATATTTCAGATGAAAGGTTTGACACATTATATCATTTTTAAAAGCCTTAAAGTTCACCAATCGCCTGAAGAAAATTACGGGTATAGTTGGTTAGAATATATAAAAACTAACTTTAAAATAACTTTACTTGGCAATCTATATAAAGCCCCCCAAAATAGCAAAATTTCACTTAAATTGTATCATAACGTGAAAGAGTATGTCATAAAAGACACACTTCCGCAAAGATTCCCCCCCCCCCCCCAATGAGGTTTGCAATTGAAAGTATGTAACCCTTGCATTCAACTATATTTCATCTTATTTTCTATATTTTTACTACAAAAACATGAAGCTATAAATAAAACACAAAAAAATTCTGGTAAACATTTTAAGATTGTCCTATACCTATATGTAGGTTTAGGGTTTATGTAACTTAAATTTATAGCAGGTTATCAGTCTAAGAGGTTGCATATAGATATCTCTTGCAGTTAACAGCTTCTCATTCTATTTTCTATATTTTACTACAAAAAACATGAAGTTATAAATAAAGTACTAAAACATTTTGGTAAACATTTTTTAAAAGTGTCCTTCACCACATGTAGGTTTAAGTTTTATCAATTGGTTATCTGTCTATAAGTTTGCATATGACATTCTCAACCAAGTTTTTATATTTTTACTCTAAAAACATAAAGCTGTAAATAAATATTGAAATAGGTTGGCAAACATTTAAAAAATGAGGGATGAAATAATTCCTTTTTTGAAAACTTTGTGCTCAAAAACATTAAATTACGATATACTAAACTGCACTCATAGACTACAAGAGGGACCTTAATTCATTAGATATAAACACATTTCTAATTTGGCACTTCCAATGTAAAAATTAATAAAAATTGAAATTAAAAAAGTAGGAAATGCAAAAACTGCACTTAAAAACAAACTTAAGAATAGATTACCGGTACATAGCTTATATTTCATTTCGATATCATTAAATAATATTTAAGAACATCAATACTTTTGTTGATAAAAAATGTCATTCTTTGGATCTACATGTATTATACCCATAATCATCAATCACAAATGATTAAAGCACATGATCAAACTTTATTTTGTTAACCTTTTCAAATCCAAATTCATAAAACCAAGTTTTCAACCATTTTCTGACAACTGGGATGATTGCGTCTCTTATCAGATCTTATCATTAACATGGAGCCTGACCTTTTTAATGAACTCCATCAACATGGCTAGAACTGAACCCCTGTCCTTGTGTGGGGGTGAACCACAGGTGCTGACCACTTGACCACAATACGTCTGGGCCCTGTTTCATAAAACTTGTTATCAATAACAAATGATGACAACTTTGCTTTCAGCCAATCAAATGTCAGAATTTCAGTAGCTTATAACAGTTATTGTAACTTGTTATTGATAACAAGTTTTATGTAACAGGGCTCTGCATGTGTGATTGGGTTAGCAACAGACATGAAACAATCAGATACACACATCTGGCCGAACACTGTCTTACAAAGAGTTACGATTGATCCAAATCAATCGCAAGTCCTCCAATCAATCGCAAGTTAGCAGTCTCCTACCTCTTACGTACATAGTTGCGATTGATATCAACTCTTTGTAAGACAGGGCCCAGGTGACCTAAGTTTAACGACATCATCTGACAGACACGACAAGTTGAAAGCCCTTAACGTTCAATCGTGGGTCCCTTGTGAGTCAGTTTGCAGGCAAAGACAGAGAGTTGAGAGTAGTACAAATAGTATTGCTAAACCAACAAGTTTTCTTTTCTTTCCAAAAAATCACTACAATTTACATGATTAATCTTTTCCAAGCATCTTAGTGAATTTTTCACCATCGGTGTGCAACAGAATATTTTAACCACAACAAATATACATATATAGATATATATGTATTTTTGCATTTGCTCGTTAATTATAATACCATTGAAACTGGTCATGGAAAAGAAGAGAACTCCCCAGGATTTTAATTTAAATTTTCAATTATTATTAATGTATGCATATTCCTTCATAATGACCTCTTAAAGGTACTATGTCCCTTTTGCAGCCAACCTCAAATGCTGTAGAACTTTGCATGAATTATGAATATGTCATGTATGTCCTATCTGTGAAATTTAAATGTTAGCAGTGTCCTCATATTCAAATTGTCTGAAAACCAAGACTATTACTTTTGGGCTCTATAGCCCTAAAGTCGATTTGACAACTAATAGTCATTATTTTCCCACTTAAAGACATTTTCAAGCCCCACCTTTTTTAGGGAAGTTCTAATTTAGTATTATCTTTCAAATGCAGTTGGAATTTAACTTTTTCATTTTTGGCCTGCAAATGGGACATAGTACCTTTAAGTATAAATTGCATACATGAATAACCTCTCAACTATAATTTACAAACAATGCAAATATCCTGACAACCTTTCAGTCCAATAGTTTTCAAAATGGTGAATTTTGAATATTTCCCTCCCCCGACATAAGAAACGCGAAATACGGCAATAAAATATACAGGTAAAAAACATACAAGTACATGCAGAATACATACTTTCAAATGCAAAATAGTACTTACTGGCACTTTTGCAATGATTGAGTTGTTTTTAAAAAAAATCATGATTCTCATCCACTATAGCTCGGAAATAACCTTTTGTTTGCCATGAGTGTTAATTGGCACAATCACAGGCTTGCCATGTGTGCTGATAAGCACAATAACAGGCACAGATTTGTATTGCACTATGCAAACATTTTGTATGCTTCCCCATTTCCAGGCCTTGATTTGCTAAATGATAACCTAAAGCTGCCATAGTTGACTTGAAAAGCTAAGGTCAAGGGTTCGATCCCAGACATGGCACCAATGTCCTTTGGCAAGGCATTAATCCACATTTGCCACACCATACCCAGGAGAGAAATGGGGACCTGGAGGATGGCAAAAACTTTTGTGTTAGTGATCGCCATATGCCCTCACAGTGACCAAATAGTAGGATTGCTCTCCAGGGAGTGGAGATGGTGCACATTGTGTGTGAATGAATCCAATGTCATGGAGCTAATCAAGACCAGGGGGCCATGACAAATATCAGTAACAAATCTGCTGATAACCAATCAGAAGCAAGGATTTCAGTAACTTATAACAAAAACTGTCATTTGTCACTGATGACAAGTTTTGTGAAACAGGGCCCAGAAATGGGGTAATTTGCAAAGCTGTTATGTTGCACAAAGCAATCCTTCAGCCAATGGGAGCCTATTATATTGTGCAAAACTGCACACATGGCAAACAAGCGATCGTACAGAGAGGTGAATAAAGCAACCAAAGGGTTAATACCAGAGATCATTTCTGTGCTAGGAAACTGAAAGAACAAGGTATAAAGGCAACGTTACAAACACAGGACTAAAAAAGCTTATATATATACATCTATACAAACATGATTTCATGATTTTGCGGTTTCACCATGTGGGTAGTCCTGACAAGGACTGTTGGGTTTGAAAGTTGATAGAAACTGAAAGAAAGTGAGGTTCGGAATCGTCCTATGGAGGACTACTTCTAATTGTATGGAAAGAGACATGTAGAGAAATTTAAAGAAGTATCCTTTCGCGAGAAGAGTCCTGAACGGACTTCACCAACCCTTTTCTTTCCTTTTGAGGACTCCTCTCACAAAAGAATGCCCCTCTTAAAGCCTGCTGCACTACGTATAGCTACTTGCGCCCTCCATGTAGCAAACAATGCCAAAGCGGTGACCGTTGGTCCCCCATGGTCCCCTTTTTTTGTGTTAATTGAGAGCTGATTTGATGAGATAACCAACTGTCAATGATCATGCCTGGAGTTCTAATCCCTCCTGGCCAAACAAATGCAGATGGGCTTTAATTTCTCTAAAGGTCTCTACCCATGCAATACCAAGAAGTCCTCCAGAGGACCCAACCAAAAGAATACCTCTCTCAATTCCTTTCTATCCCCTTTCAAATCCACCGCCCTATTCAGGACTACCCACATGATGAAATCGCAACCTTATGAATTCATACACACCACCATGCATAAGCTAACCTTCAAAGACCATCTATACATAACATGTGAATCCAATTGTCTATATCTGATGCTACATGAAATATTTATAATGATTATCTCTAGAATGACGAACAAAGATAAAAGTAAGTATGATTGTAAGACATGCTCCAGCTATAAAAATTCTACAGTCAATTTTTAGAACTTTGGAGCAAGTGTCATCCAACGGCAAATGTCAGATCACACAGTGCAACTTTTGATTAGAACTATATATGACAGGTATTGTTGCAACTACAGACAAAGTGCATCATGGGAATACCGGAAGGTCAAAGGTCAACCTGAAATCCTTCGCACACTTCACCCAGGCAAAGAAAGTAAAATTGGAAGGTTGGGAACCGTGATGAGAAACAAGTGGAAGAGGAGGCAATGGAAAGACGTTAAAAACAAGAGAATTAAATATTGATGATTGACAGATCTCATTGTGGGCCTGGCAGAAGCACACGAGTGGACAACCAAGAAATGTAGTTTTCATATCGAGAAGAGGTTATTTAATAACTTTTAATGTTCTTTGACTAGACGCATGTGACACTTTTCAGTCTAGGTGTCACCCAACTGTTAACAATAGTTTATCATTTCGGCAATCACACTGTTAAGAAATTTGACTAAAGAAACCGTGTTTGGGTGTTTCTGTGAGATAAAAGTCTTTTGTCTATACAATCCAAAAATTATTTGACATGATCGCTGACTAAAGGTTTTTTCTGGTATCACCACAATTAGTTGATAGTCTTGGCAAGCAATTTCTAATATTTGGCCGAGTCTCTTCTCCATCTATACAATCCTGAATTTAATGGACATGATCACCAACTGATGGTACTTTCTGGGATCACTACAATTTAGTAAATGGTCTTAACAAGCAATTTCTAATTTTTTGAAGAAATACTCGGAGAAACGACTTGTGTCATACAAGAAATAATGCAAAGAATCACCTATTTACGCTCTTCTGCCAAACACACGTTATGACATGTCACCTTGTTAGCTCTGGCCATTGTAGAGTTAAATACAAACCACTACCAGTTAAAAACACACTTCAAACTGCCATTTGTCATTCTCTAGACTCTAGACTGTCTCGTAGTAAGCATTGCCAGCGGTAATGCCATCGGGCTACACAAACTGGTAGTTCTCATGGTTGCTGACACTGACGTAGGTCGTTGAGGACGACTGGGTGAGATCGGTCGTGAACTGCCTGCCCCAGTTGATCTTCAGAGGGCGGCATAACCCCAAGCAGCGCAGACCGAAGAAGTCCACACAGTTCTTGACGACTCCCCGGCTGCAATGATAGAGACAGAATGAATTCAAATCAATTCATTATTCATATAACCATTAAACTTTGTCAACTTTATCACCTAAAGTATACCAAGCACTGATAATGTAAAAAAAAAATAGACAATTTTGCAAATTTTAATGTTCACAGCTTTTTACCCTGTCTACATATCCATGTCCCTGTCTCAAAACAAATTGAGACATAATAAGTGAGGGGTTTAGAGAATTCAGTAGGGTTACAGTAGGTTGTAATGTAAACAAAACTTAATCAATAAGGTACTCACTCGAACGGATTGATGAACTTTCCGGGTTTGTCTGGAACCTGTTCAAAGTGTGTGTAGCGTGACATGTTGAGTCTTTCATTTGTTGTGACACCTAGCCAGATCATCTGATTCAAAATAAAAACAAGAAATAAAACAACATTTAGACATCTTAAATTAGGATTAAGAATATTATTTAACAAGGAATAAAACAAGATTTAGACATTTTTTATCATCACTGAATATGAAATTGAACAAGATTTCTATTTAAATCAATAGCAAAAATTACAGGGATTCTTTGAAAGTGTATACAGTGTGAATTGGTTATTTCATTTGTTGTTACAAATTTCTGTAACTCAAGAATGAAAGGTGGACTGATTGATTTAGGACCTTTGTTGAATACTTTTAGATGTAAGCTTTAATGTGTCACATTCTCAAGAAACACAACTTGGAACAATTCAATTTGTCACATACATTAAAAATTCAGTATGGATATTATTATTTTATTTGTAAAAGGGAGTTTGTTGTCAGTTTCGATGTGCAGTAGGTCAAAATACCATTAATGGGTGGACAGGCCTTCCACATGGCAAACGCGTAGTCTTATCAGGAAATACCCCAATTCTCTTGGAGAGTCTTTGGGTAAGGGCAATATAAGTTAATGAATTTCTCCATACGAGGTGATTGATGGAAAATGCAGAACATTACATATGGCTTGCTGACCATAAAACTGAATGCTTATCCTGGTGATTATCAACTCCTGTTATTGGGTAAACACCCAAATGGTGTCAAATTCCCAATGAGAGTCCACTTCTACGCATCTTTAAATGTACACGTATATCGCCAGAGCAAATGACGTATTAACGATTGCTTACCTGGAAGAGCTGACTGGCCAAGAGTACAATGACCCAGGTCATGTGGAGCAAGGAGTTGAGAGAGGTCCAGAAAATCCATGGCGAGCAGGACATGATCTGACCGAGATAGGCCCAGAACCCATCCTCTTCAAAGCTTGTGGTACACTCTTCAGACCAGTCTGATTGGTAAAAACATAGAATATAAGAGAAGAACGAAAGTTAGTCTTGTGTGTGTGTGTAATTGGGATTTTTACAGACGTGTATCATTCAGATATGATTATTTACGTCTGGGGACCGACCTTTAATGTCACCAGTCTTATCGAATCAGACTTTATTTAAGAGGACCTGAGAAGGATAGGCCCGGAAGCCATCGTCTTGAAAGGTAGTGGTACACTCTTCAGACCAGTCTAATTGGTAAAAACATAGAATAGAAGAGAAGAACGAAAGTTTAAGAGGATCTCAGAACGATACACCAAAAAGTGATGGTCTCAAAAGATTGTGGAACCTTCTTCAGCCCAGTCTGATTGGTAAAAACATAGAATAGAAGAGAAGAACAAAAGTTTAGGAGGATCTCAGAAGGATACACCAAAAAGTGATCCTCTTCAAAGCTTGTGGTACACTCTTCAGCCCAATCTGATTGGTAAAAACATAGAATAGAAGAGAAGAACAAAAGTTTAGGAGGATCTCAGAAGGATACACCAAAAAGTGATCCTCTTCAGAGCTTGTGGTACATTCTTCAGCCCATTCTAATTGGTAAAAACATTTAATAAAAGAGAAGAAAAGTTTAAGAGGATTTAAGAAGGATACACCAAAAAGTGATCGTCTTCAAAGCTTGTGGTACATTCTTTAGCCCAATCTAATTGGTAAAAACATTTAATAAAAGAGAAGAAAACTTTAAGAGGATTTACGAAGGATACACCAAAAAGTGATCGTCTTCAAAGCTTGTGGTACATTTTTCAGCCCAATCTAATTAGTTAAAACATAGAATAGAAGAGAAGAAAAAAAGTTTGTCTTATCACATCAGACTATATTTATATCCTAAGAAGGATAGACCCAGAAGCAATCGTCTTGAAAGGTAGTGGTACACTCTTTAGCCTAATCTAATTGGTAAGAACATGAAATAAAAAAGAAGAATAACAGTAAGTCTTATCACATCAGACTATATTTATATCCTAAGAAGGATAGACCCAGAAGCAATCGTCTTGAAAGGTAGTGGTACACTCTTTAGCCTAATCTAATTGGTAAGAACATGAAATAAAAAAGAAGAATAAAAGTAAGTCTTATCACATCAGACTTTATCAAAGAGGACCTGACAAGAGTAAACCCATAAATAAACCCATAAATATTTTATTATAAATATTTTATTATATTTCTTATACAGCGCACACCTCCATCACTTTGTGAGGCTCCTGGCGCTCCTACATTATTACCCTGGTCATGGCTGGCGGTCAAATATGTAGCCCTCTGGCAAATTGGGTACCCATTTACACCCGGGTGGAGAGTGGCAAAAGTGGATTAATGTCTTGCCAAAGGATGTTAGTGTCAAACTGGGATTCTAAGGTTCAACCCTCGGATTAAAAGTCAAAGGAATGAACCACTATACCATGACACTTCCACACGCATGAATAGAGAAAGACAAAAGTAAGTCTTATCATGTCACACTTTACACAAGACGATCTGACCCCGGCAGAATGCATTGTCTTAAAAGGTTGTGGGTATAATCTTTAGCTAAGTCTCATCAACAACTAAAGATGGTTAATTGAGACTTATGATATGACATCTAACTATGACTTACAGGCATCACAGATAGCCTTACGATATTAGGCCTTGTAGAGGCATGAAAGGATGCGTCCGGAATGCAGACGGCATAATAGTCAGAGATGTTTGCTAACTAAAGGTTCATTTTTGAAATCTGAATAAATGATGTGGTAACATGAAACCTACTTAGGATAATACATGTATCTACACCTTATTCTGTATACAGTTAATTCTTCATGAATCAATTTTGTATAGGCCTGAGTCATGTCGGGATTTTCATAAACCGGGTCCCGACGGCCTTGCACCGATCGGGACCCGGTGTCCCGAAATCAGCTCGCAGGATTTGTCACTTGCCTCTATTAAAAGCGCATATCATCAGTATGTCCCTTAAAAGTGACCTTTTTTATCAGTCAAATAAATCAACACATGCATACCTCGGCACAGATTGGTATATTCTTCCATTTGACAATATTTTCATCCATGATTGGCGATGTTTAGTGCCATTATCGTGCCTCTAAAAGTTTTAAAAAACTCGAGCAAGAATATAAAGACAACATTCGTGACAACATTCGAGCCGCCATTTTGATTCATGCAGGTTGAATAAATCAGCTCAAAAATATGAATGTTAGAATAATAAAACGGCTTTCTAAAAACTTCTTCTTTACAACATACCGATCAAATAAATTTTTAAAGACTAATAAATATTTATCTCTTATTTTAAACATCGCATGCTTTTTTTTTAAAAGCTGAAAATTACTTGGTAATCACAAGAAGTTTCGATATGGATAGCTGTTGCAAGGCAAGTTCAGACTAGTCACGGAAAAATGCGCAGTGCACCTCTTAGCTGTAATGCGTGCCAGACCGAACCAAAACAAATATACTTGATCGTAACAAGAAATCATTCAAAACTACGAGAGCACAATTGGAAAGAGAACTACTGCTCAAAATTACCATAATCAGATACATTACTTGGACAAAGAATTCAGTAATCGCCCAAGAAATGCCACAGAAATTGTGATAATCGAGGAGTAACTGGGTACATTTTTATCGCATTGGGCCTGCTGCAAATACTCGAACCCTTTGTTATACTGCTTTTACCGTAGAGGGCGGTATTTGTTTTCTAGCCTCGTGTTCAGTTTAAACACGTGTAGATCGGAGCTGCAGGCCCATTCTGATAATAATTGTACCTATAGTAGCTCCTTAAATATCACTATTTCTGTGGCTTTTCTTGGACAACTATTGTACTCTTCCTCCAAGTTATGTATCTGCTTACGATAATTTTGAGTAGTTGTCTTTCCAATTGTGCTCTCGTAGTTTTTAATGATTTTTTTTCGTTACGATCACGTCTTTGTTTAGGTTCGTTCTGGCACGCATTACAGCTAACGATGAGCACTGCGCATTTTTTCGAGACTAGTCTGAACTTGCCTTGCAACAGTTATCCGTATCGAAACTTCTTGTGATTAGCAAGTAATTTTCAGCTTTTAAAAGAAGCATGCGGTGTTCAAAATCAAAGAAAAAATATCTATTTCGTCTTTTAAAAATTATTCGATCGGTATGTTGTAAAGAAGTACTTTTTAGAAAGCCGTTTTATTATTCAAACATTAATGTTTCTTTCAACCTGATTCATTAATCCTGCCGAGAGACCCGGCCAGTACAGTAGCTGGCTAGCAGCTGGCAATAACAACCCCATGGGGCGAACTGCTTTGCAACCCATATTTATATCAGCAGTTCAGGATTGATTGATTCAGGATGAGCTAGAATATGATTGGTAACAATTAAATACTTAAGTTTTAAGGTGGATTGATTTTAGTGGTGTGCAAAACTGCAATTTCTTACATATTTCATTATTTTTTTCGGAGCGTCGGTTCTCAAAAAACGAAACCGGGACCCGACGGCAACGGTCGGGTCCCGGTGTGATCGACCGTACCGACTCAAGCCTAATTTTGTACAAGTCAAATTTTTCTGAAGTAAAATTAATTTTCAGTACCAAACTATGCAAAACAAGTATTATTTGCACTTCCTTAATCAAATTTTGAAAGTCAAACTATTGTTTGCAGTCCCAACAGATTTGATTAACGCAGAATTAACTGTAATTAGAAGTAGTGTCGACTTACAGTTGATGCATGCATAGAAGTATAAGACTAGGCAAGGTAGTAGAGCCGTCAGGTACAGAACAAAATGATGGTGGTTGCCAGATCCTGCGAGGAAATTAAAAAATTAAAACATCATCATCATCATTCATTAAAATTCAGCATTTTTACTCTTACGAGTGGTTACTGACTTTCGCCCTATGATGACACTCACTCCATCCACTACTTTTTGTCTACAGCATCCTCCTCATTTAGACAAACCTTACATCATTCTTCCTTCACCAAAGAACAGCACATAAATATTATGCCCTTCAAATAACATTATCAACTATGTTAAGCCTCAGTCACAAATGCCATTATGAACTGCTACGAACGCTGTACGAACGATTTTCAGACAATGGAAATTCGGGAAGACAATGGAAAAACAGGGAGATTCGTACAAAATTATCGTTTGTACGAACCTTTGTGACCGTAGCATTAACTATTTTTTCCCCACTGTGGGAAGCAAAGCCCCCCCCCCCCCCTCCCCCAAGAACTTGAGTGCTGAACAAGATCTTCCAAGAACATATCACTTTTACATTCAGAAGTTGAACGACACAAGAAATAAAATTCTAAATGCAATGATGGCTTGTAAAACTGAATGCTAAAGGAATAAGTTTCAGTCTACCCCCTCTGGGGTTATACCTTTTCCCACTTTGGTCGACTTTTTAGGAGAAGACGGCTGTCAACTTTTGTCACACCTACAGCATTTATGGAAACGTTTCCTGGCAAAGAATTAATTAATTCCATCCAAGGACCCAATAAAATTTAATTTAGATCAAATTCTAGAGACATACTTTTTAACTTTAAAGATACAGGTACATTGTTTTCGGACTCTCATGGGGAAGTTGACACCATTCAGGTGTTTACCCAATAACAGGTGTTGTCAATCACAAAGATTAACCTCCAGTGTGATGACCAACAAGCCTTATGCAATGTTCTGCATTTTCCACCAATAAAACTGTCATTATCTTACATTTCCCTCAATCGTTCACTCTCTGAGAGACTAGGGGATATTTCTTGATCAAAACAAAGGTTTGCTGTATGCGAGACTTGTACACCCATTAACGATATTTCCACCAAGTCTGGTGTCAGCGAATTAGGACCTACTGCACATGGAAACTGGACTACCATCCTCCTTTAACATCAAGATAAATGATCCACTCACCAATGCAGTTATCCACCCAAGGGCAGTGATGGTCAAACCTGGCCACACATCGGTCACAGTGAGAACAGTGCTTGCTTCTGATTGGTCGTTTGATCAGGCATGTCGTACAGAATTTACTCAACTCCAGCTGCCCAGTCTCCGCTAACTCTATGATGGTCTGTCAGAAGTCAAATGTCAATGTTATGAGTTGTGACTACATATACATATAAGATTTGAGGATTGACATTGTAAACATTTATGAGTTTACTGAATTTACCCAATTCTCCACTAGTTCTAAGATGATGTGTGGGATTTCAGATATGAGATAAGGTTTTGATAATATGAATATTTATGAGTTTGTTGGGTAGAATCTTCTCAATTCTAGCTGCCCAGTCTCCGCTAACTCTATGATGGTCTGTCAGAAGTCAGATGTCAATGTTGTCAATGTTATGAATTGTTTGTTTGTTTTTTCGTTTCATTGATTTTATTTCTGCATTCGCAAATATACCAATTCAAATTCAAAGTACAAAAATTCAATGATAATGAATAAAATGTTTACAAAAGTAATTGAATATAAAAATCATGTACAATTATAGCATACATATAAGATAAGAAATATGAAATATTTTTCAATAAATTAGAGAGGTAATTTAGAATGCAGGAGACCACCATTGTGACTACATAAGATTTGAGGGTCAACAATGTGAATATTCATGAGTTTACTGAATTTACTCAACTCTCCACTAGCTCTAAGATTGATCTGTGAGATGACATCATGTTTTGAAAATATGTAAATTTTGAGTTTGTCGACTAGAATCTACTCAGCTCCGCTAGCTCTATGATGATCTATCAGAATTCAGATGTCAATATTATGAGTTGTGACTACATGAATAGATAAGGGCCTTGTTATATAAAAATTGTTATCAATAACAAGTTACAGTAACTGTTTTAAAAATGACTAATCATTATACCTGAGCAGAAAGAATTTTTACTATTTTCTTTCACATGGTTCATGACTTAGACTTTTTTTTCCCTTCAAAATATGAAGGTGTGGAATATCAGATTTTGAAGACAGAACTAATTGAGAAAATGATAAAACTTTGAAATGCAATGGGTTATTATGTAGAATGCATATGCAGTTAACAACTAAATTATTCATACCCCTTGTTAATTTTCAGATTATTGTGTTTTTCCTAACTCAAGAATGAAAGGTGGACTGCTTGAATTAGGGCCTTCATTGAATACTTTCAGATGTAAGTTCTAACATGTCACATTCACTATGAATATGACTGACAAAGAAAGCGGACAAAATATACAGTTCCTCAGGTAGACAAAGGAACATCCCTTCCCTGCTATTATGTAAAAAGGTGAATATGCATGTGACATCTGTTCTACACATTTTTACATAATAGCAGTGAAGGGATGTTCCTTTGTCTACCTGAGGAACTGTATATTTTGTCCGCTTTCTTTGTCAGTCGTATTCACAGTGATTATGAAGATACATAAATCAGGAAAATTTGATTGTTCACATGCTTCAAAATACAATCTTTGGTTAGAGTATGAATAATGTAGATGCTAACGGCAAATTATTAAAAACAAGAATAGAACTCACTCTTTTCCTGTCTTCCTGAGAACATTGAATAACACCTGGGTCTCGTTTCATCGTTGCCCAGAATTGATAATACATGCAGACGGAGGATGCAAAGAAGACTGCATTGTGAAGTAAAGACTGATGTGAACGGAACCGTCAAGGAATAAAACTTACAAAGCACAAAATACTTTAATGTTAATGTTCTAAGTTGTGATATAAGGTAATATCACTTCAAACATGCAATGGAAAACTCCCAGATTTGTCCTCTACTGCTGCATATATTCTTCATTGCACATCTAAATTTAGAATGTGTGTAGCATGCATGCTGTACCAGGAGGCAATATGACAGCCGATTTCCCTTCTTCAAAATTCTTCCTGATGAACATGAAAGTGATATTTGTCCCTCCCTCCCTCCCTTTCTTTATCTCTCTCTTTCTCTCCCTCTCTCGCTTCCTTTCTTCCTTCCTCCCTCCTTCTTTCCCTCCCCTCATCCCTCTTTACCTCCCTCTCTCCCTCTATCTAATCTGGGGGTCATTGTCAGGGGGAGGAGATAGTTGTCAAGGGTAGTCATCCTAATATGGTTTGTAAAGGATATGAGGCCACAGGAAGTAAGCATAGGTGGTGTGGAGGAAAAACTTTGTTGAAAAAGAGATGCAGAGTGAAACAAGCTCGCCAAATCGGTGATCAAAAAACGTCCTGTGGAAAAGAGGAAAGACAAAAAATATCTGACTATTGATACGAAAGTCTCTGTGCATTGAATTGCAAGCCTAATTCTACTTCTCATCATAAATATCATCAATACCAGGGTTACAATAATGGTTATCACTATTACTATGATCACCATCACCATCATCACATCTAACACCAACATTATCATCATCATCACCATCCTAACCACCACCACTACCACCATCATGACCACCACAACCATCACCTTCTCAACTGCTACCATCACCATCATCACTCTACCACCATAATCGCCGTGATCATTATCATTACCACCAATCCATCATATTCACTATCATCATCATTATCATTATCATCATCAATATCACCTTCATCATCATCATCATCATCAATATCAATATCAGCATCATCACCATCACCATCACCACCACAGGCACCACCACCACCACCACAGGCACCATCATCAACAACAATCGTTTTGGTCGAACCAACTTACCTGAACAGCGTGTACACCACTCCATAGGTGCAGAGGGCAGCGATCAGTTTAACCCACCAGGGCTGACTGAGTTGAGGTATGGCACCCATCAGGAAGATCACCAAGAACGGAACAATTTGCATCACACGTTTCCTTACAGTCTAAGGATAGAAAATGAAGAAGAAAAACATTTCAAATTGTTTGTTTTACCTCTTGACTACTCTCGGAGAGGACCTAAAACCGTCGGTCCTCTGGTTACTTACTAACAAGTATTAATGCTTTCTTTAAGCAGTCAGGTAAAATAACCACCACCACCACTAAATTAGAAAAGTCCTCTCCGAGAGACATTGTAATGAGAATTAATGCCTTATCAAAGGGCACTAGCGCAATGACTTTGTTTAGAACCTGGGACCTCCCTGTTACAAGACCACTGTTCTACCACTGAGCCACCGCGCCTCCCATTTGAAGGCTGCCACTTTTAACTCTTACTCTACTGAGCTACTTGAAACTCATGATTATGACTTCATACAGAATGTGGGCACAGTATGAAAATTGCCGAGAATTGCACTTAGAGGGATCCAGTAACTTTGTCTCAGATTCTGAAACAAAATCTGGATTTAGCTCATGCTGCAATGATAATTATAAACCTTGAGGTCAGTCAGGAACACCATGACTTTTACAAGCCGATCGCATGTCTGATTATCAAAATATTCATGATTGGAATTACGGACTTTGAAAACAGTTTGCCAAACGGTTTTCATAACGCTACAGTCTATTGGGGAAAACGATCATGGTAAAACCGGTCACTCAAACAATTTTACTTTTTTGAGGTACTTCTTGATCATTTTGAATCACGATTTTTGTAGGGCTTCAATATAACATCATATCACAGACAATGATAACATATAGGGCCATGCATCTCAGATTTAACATTGTTAAACGATCCCTTTAATTTTGTCATAAATCTATTATTTTTCATATAATTTTACAATTATGCAATCATGATAAATTAATGAAGAGAAAAAGGTCTGTGAGATCTTATTTTGGGCACAAATGCTGTATAATATTTACTCTAAAGAAAAGAAAAACAACTAACTATCTTACATATTCCATTGTTTTACAGACTTAAATGTTTTTTAAATTTTACTCACATACATCTCTGAGTATTTTTGTGGTCTTATCTTTCCTGTGTAAGAATTATCTAATTCAATAATTTGATAGAAAACCCTATTATTATTAAACGCTTATAAAGAACAATAATAAAAAATGTATAGAATTTTATCTCCGCCCTCTTTCTTTGACACACTCTCTCTCTCTCTTTCTCTCTATCTTCCTTTTTCACTCTCTCACTCCTCCTCACCTAAATGCTCTCATTCAAGCCACCTACCTTATTTGATTTGAGTCTCTTTAATATCGTTGAATTGTCGACCTCTGCTTCCCCTCTGAACTCTTTTATTCTCATAATCAAGTATCCGTTCCGCCTTAGCTTTGCCAGGTCCATGCATGTCTGATGCTGTAAATTGATAAGAAACAAGATATGAGTAGATTCATCATAAGGAGAGGGTGCCAGTGTGTGTCAATATCTGCCCCCCCCCCCCCCTCCCCCACACACATACACAAAATTTTGTTTTCTTCATTTAACTAATCTGGATTTTTCTTCTTTTGTATAGGGGGAGGATGGGTGCTGAAATCTTCAGTTAATTTGACGCCCAGCTACCCCCCCCCCCCCCCCCCCCCCCCCCCCCCTCTACACACACAAATGTATTAGTGACGTCTCTTGATACTAGAACATGTAATTCTCGCTACCCTAAATAGGTACGAAAATCTCGAAATTCGCGAGACGAGGTAATTTTCACTCTCTCGGGTCGTCACTACAACTTCCGGTATAGAGTCCCATCCCGCTGGCGCTAGCGCCTGTGTTCGCTGTGCAGAGTTTTCACGCACGCTAAAATCGATGCCAATCAGTGTAATTTGTACAGATTATAATATGCAATGGAAAGCTTCGGGCAGAATTAGTGACTTTAGCACAAAAGGCCGTTAAACTCTACCGTGAAAGAGAGGGTTGTGATCACGAACGCCTGCACAGGAAGCTGTAATGTCGAAAAGCTATCCCATAATGCAATGCGCGTTTTCAGGATTTTCCCCGGATCTCGGCAGAATCGCTATTTGGGGTAGCGAGAATTGAATGTAATTGATCTGCATCTCTAAGATACAGACATTTTTGAAGAGGAAACAAAAAATCACATGGAAAATATGAAAATATATTTGTCACAAGATTTTGAGTCAATTTTAAAAGTTGGTTTACACATGTTTGTACCTCCTGCTTTTTACAAAGAAGGTAAAATTGGAAGAAAGGTCTACTTTAACGCAAAAGTTTTTCAGAAAAAAACAGAGGCATTTAGGAATCATAACACTAGTCTAAAGGCCAAAAAAAATGCATTTTAGTCTTCCAAAATAGGAACAGTTAACAGCTATGCTATGTTCTAGCAGCTTATGCAATATATTTGCATGTACCAATCAAAGCCTTCCACTAGTTATACCAATTCTTGCACTTACGCTTTTGTTTTCCATGTAGGTGTCGGCTCCAAACTTGACCAGACAGTTAATGGCAGCCATGTTGCCTTGCACTGCGGCCCAATGGAGGGCACCATTCTCAAACTTCTTGTCCTGGATGTTAGGGTTCGCTCCCACGGTGAGGAGAAGACGAGTAGGGTCCATCCTGGAGTGAAAAATAAGGGGATAAAAATTGGCAACACCATCTCCACAAACTTTTTATGTCTACAGGTCCACATACATGTGATTTTCCAGACATCTGAACTGCATAGACAATACTTCTTGTTCTTTTTTTTTTTTGGGGGGGGGGGCAAATAACAAACATTCATACTTCTATTTACAAGCATTCATCCTTGTTTACATATCCTGGCCAAGAAATAAACACTTAAAAGGCCTGTCCTCATCAGCTTGAGTTTGCTATTTTAACTATCCCGGCTTCATCAGCCTGCAGTTGCAATTAGCGGAATATTTGGTCAAGAAAATATTCTGAGAAATTTTGGTCTTGTTTCCAAAATATCTCGCTATTAATTTGCGCCCGCCCAAGCTAGTTTGTGATGAGCGTATCCATCTGGTGAAGACCCTATTTCGAGCTTCGGGATAATATTCTGAGTCTAAAAATAGCAAGTTATTTGGCAAACTCGAGCTGATGAAAACAGGCCTATGGATTACTCATAGAATGACATGCAAGGATGTTCCAGCTCTCTGCAGATAAAATACTAATCCCTGAATTGATGGGTACTGTATACACAGCAAGTAAGCTTTAAGCACCTCTTAAAAACTACATAGAAAACTAACACAAATCACTTCACCTGTTACATTTTGTAGCATTTATCAATGATTACAATGTACAGGTGTACTAGTCTCCTATGAAAATACTAATTTAAGATATACTTACGAGAATGCTTTGTAAGAAGACCACATCAGCGGTGTCATACCATTACCATCAATCATATTGACATCCTGCAAAGGGGGGAATTAAACAAATTTGTACAGTTGTCAAATTTATGTTTTTTAGTTCACTTTATTCAACTATATCAAATAAGATATACAAAGCACGTACTACAGTTAAGAATATGAAATAAATGGTAAGGATTATCCCCCCCCCCCTCACAAAAAAACAAACAAAAACAAAAAACAAACAAAACAAAACAAACAAAACAAACAAACAAACAAAATTATGTATTTATATATATACAAACTATTACGACACTGTAATGATATGGATATTCTCGTGTTTACGTTTTCCTCAAAGGTTCATTGACGTACATGTACAAGGCAAATTCCTGGTAGATTTCGCTAGAACTATTTTTACAAACATACATGGTGAATTCCTTGTATGCTATTTTTAACACCTGTTCCGAGACGTTGCGCTCTTAATTTTGGCTCTACTTTTTCGGCTTGGCCGATTGGATTAGGTGTCGCTGGGCGTGTCGCCACAGTTGACTTAAATTTAATTAGGCAAATTTGGGAAATAGATTTGTATTACAATTGGAAGGGTTTTTCCTTGTTGCCGGGTCTGTTCACACTATCGAAATAGTATGAGAGAGGAAGTGAGGATTACAGGTGTGTAATAGCCAGAAGCATGTGGGCTCGCTAGTGTGGACGGACATATCAACATTTATCCCTTTTTATATTCATTGAATTAATTTCCAGGGTTGTTGGGTCTCCGGGTGATTTGCATCTCTTGTTTGAAAGATTAGAATGTAAGAGACACAGGTGGGTGCGTGAAAGAAGTATGTGAGGAATAGAGATGCGGATCATCCGGAGCTCCTTATATCCGGGGGGGGGGTAAATTCGCCAAGAAATTTAGGACCTTTTAATAGGAAACTAATTATGGGTGGATTGATATTACGCAAAGCGTCTGTGTGACACGCCTCAATTTTTGGGAGGACGAGGCGTGTCAGTTCGGGGGGATAAAAACCGAGTTGCGTCTCTGGAGCGGGACCTCTTTTTACGTTACGATACCGACATGAGTTGCTAATTTGCTTCAATTGGGTTGCCCAGCCCCAAAAGATGAACTTCGTGATTTATTAATTCTACGTTTATTTTAATAAATCTTCAACTCCAATCAAGAATTTGTTTTAATGACTTTGATTTATCTTCGTTTTCTACACTTCAAGAACCTAAGTGATACTTTAACATTTTCTGAGTCGGTACTAGGTTGGGCGGCTTTGGCCACCGGGCCGTCTCGCCATGAATCGCTTCAACACCATCAAAACACTCTAGATCAACCAAGAGAAATTTACTCACCTGGCCTTTAGCGATGAGATACGCTACAATAGGTGTGTGGGCAAATTGGCAAGCTAGGTGTATGCCGCTGCAACCCTCCCCGTCCCTAAGGGAGGGGTCGGCCCCGTACTGCATCAAAAGGACCACCATAGGGAGGTGCCCCTGGCGCACCGCCCAGTGGAGGGGGGTGGAGTTCAGGTCCCCGCCCAGCTTGTCAAGGATGGCTTCTTTGGAAACGAGATATCTGTTTTTCATTCAAATGAGAACAAATAGGAGACAACTTTGTATTAGAGAATTTTGAATAAGTAAGCACTTTTGCAATAATTTTGCCATACCTGAAATTTGCAATCTGTGACAATTTCTTGCTTTGGAAATTGTCATCATTTACATTCACAAAAATTATCATAGAACATTGTAGTTTTATAGAACAAGAATTAGCCAGTTCATAGTTGCAGTCTGAGCATGAGCAGGTAAAGGTCATTGCGGACTAAATTGAAAAATACATGGAGACAAAATAATAGATACGTGCTCATGGTAGTTATGTAATCATTATTCATTTATGCACAAGCATGACACACAGGTGGAAGTATTCTTTGAAAAGGGTAAACAAAGGCTATTTAATGTATGTAGCACCTCCATGGCTGTAGGAGTGATTATTTCAAAATGTACAAAGTGGGGCCTCTTCATGTTTTGAAGATCTGTGGATATTCGGGGTCATTTGGGACATGTGCTAACCGTGAACTGGTATATTATTATGGACTCATCCAGGTTGGTTCATCAATAAAAAGTCATACATGTAAAATTGGAAATGGAAGTAAATTTGGAACATAGAAGTAGTATGAACTGATGTAGGGAAAGCACAAAGTCCCTCCTTGATGGGATCCAAAGCTTGCTTATTATAGGTAATACAAAGTTTTGGGAAATTTGGGAAATTTTGAAAATTGGGTGGATAGTGAATCTTTACAATTTTGATATATTTGGATGCCCCTGTGGATGTATTATAAGCACTAAAAAAATTAGCCCCTAAAACACTTCTGTTTTCGTGAAAAATTGAATATAAAAATTCAAATAGCGCCTATGGCCGTACAATGGTAGCCGCGACCATGAAAATCTCAGAATATGTAGTTGGGACATACAATTTCCAACGGGGAATAGCTAATCGTTTGATTTTAGTCAAGAAACATTGTTTCATAGCTAAATTAATATCTTGACCTTGAGAGGGAGCTATACAACATAAAGAGTATATTATTTATAATGTCATAACTTTAGACTCGATTTCAACCTCGACGACGACCAATGTATATTGTAGGAACGCATATGCTTCCAATATGTTAATTTGAACCAAATTCATGACCCCATACCAAAACTTTGTAATACCTTTAAGGACTCTAAGGTTCTTACAGATGCACTCTGGTGAAATCTGAGCAATATTTAGAAGCATTTTCAAACACATTTTATGACTAACATTGCATTATCTTTTGGTTTAGAACCTTTTAGAACCTTTAACATAAAAAGTAACATGTCAAAACCCCTTAAAGAGCAGCCTGCCTCACCTCACAATCTCGGCTCTGTTGTTGATTGCAGCCCAGTGCAATAATGTTACATTCTCTGGATCAGGTTCATTCACATCATATCCTTCTTCAACCAGCTTACGCACTCTGTCAATCATACCTGAAAAAAAATTACAATGTTTGGTATCATAAGAAAAGGCATTGCATTTGTGTGGGGATTTTTTTCAGCAACATACTTTAAAGGCCGGCTCTACTAGTTTTGCCAGGAGGGATTAGACCGCACAGCGTGGTCACTGACAGGTGGCTATCTCATTAACTCAGCTCTCGATTAACATAAGAAAAAGAGGATCATGGGGGACCAATGGTCACCAATTAGGCAGTTTTCTATATAGAGGGAGCAAGTAGCTACAAGTAGGACAGTGGGGCTTTAAATGTTTGCTTTTTCAATTAACATGAGTGATGATTTTAAATTATATCAAAAAGTACACCATGTAAATATATGTACATGTAGGAATGAAAGATAAATACATAAGAAAGATCAATATTTGAAATCCTTAACTTAATAAAATAATTTTATCGCAAATGCACAACGAAAGGTTTAGGTAGAGTGCTAATATTGTGATGGGGGTAATTATGGGGACAAGAGTTACTTTGATGATCAGGTAATGTGCTAAAACAGGCTAGTCTTGTTATGTTACCAAATTTAATGCAGATGTTTTTGTGAAGTGCCTCGATACACATTACTAATACAAACAATTGTATCTCAATAGTCAGAATACAAATACAATATATGTTTCTAGGTAGGAAACAAATTATTACTTGCCCAACCTAACAACACATAATAAATGCAGGTTGCATTCTGTTGAAATACAATTATCCTTAAAGGGATTGGGTATCTTTGTCTCAGATTCTAAACAAAATCCTGGATTTAGTTCATGCTGCACCATAATTATAAGCCTTTAGGTCAGTCAGGAATCCCATGACGTTCACAAGCCAATCTCGCCTGTATGATTATCAAAATATTTATGAAGGAAATTTGAAATTTCAAAAACCATTTTTCCATCGTTTTGTATAACACTACAGTCTATTGGGGGAAATGAGTATGGTAAAACCGGTCACTCAAAGATTTCTACTTTTTTGAGTCACTTCATGATCATTTTGAAGCACAATTTTTTTAGGGTTTAAATATTACACCATATCACAGACGCTAATAACACGTGGGGCCATGCATCTCAGATTTGTTAAACTGGAAACATTGTTTAAACAATGCCTTTAACACTAACAGGTGAATGAAATAATTTGTATCGAGGCACTTCACAAAAATGAATGCATTAAGTTTGGTTACTTTACGAAAATCATGTCGTGTTAAATCAAAGGGAGTAGTACACACCATACTGCGTAGCCTTCACCATATTTCTATTCCTTTATTTCTGTTCTCAATAAAGTGATGTACCAACAATTTTTTAGTTAAAGTGCACAAATCACCCCAAAATATATTTTTGCTCTTGGTGTAAAGGGGTCCACATTGCTATACTGTAGGCTAGTCGAAAGTATAAGCTTCAAATATTTCAACTACAAAGAGATAATACACTCTCAGTAAACTCAGAAACTTGAGACCACTCAATAGGCGCGTCTTCATCATCTCGAGTTTGCCAAATAACCTGCTATTTCTGATTTTGGAAATCCCGTAGTTACAAATCGCATCTTCATTAGCTCGAGATTCGACCTCGAAACTTGAAACTCGACCTTGAGAAATTAGCTCGAGATATTTTGCTCAGCGTTAGCGCATAATGCGAGTCTTTGGTCTAGTGAAGACGCACAAGAAAAATAGCTGGATATTTTGCCAAATAGTGGGATATTTTGCAAACTTTCCCAAGATATCTTGGGATGACAATCCTGACCAAATATCCTTCTAATTGCTACTTTGGTCTTATGAAAACGCAAATTAGCTGGATAGTTTGCGATCGGGATAGTTCAAATAGCTGGATATTTGGCAATCTCGAGATAGTGAAGACAGGCCTAATATGATCACTCACCATACTGGGTGGCCTTCACGATGTCCATCTGGTCGGGGTCAGTCTTAGCGTTCTCTGATTTTGGTTCGGTAGTGCTGTCTGCAGGAGGGTTGTGAGGGTCATAGTAACCCAGGGTCTCCCCGGACGGCTGGACCGGGTACGGCTTCACCTCCTCCATCATGGCGGTCGAATCCTGCCCGGGAATAGATCAGGGTGAAAAGTTAGCTCCAAGAAGAAGGAAAAAAATTATATAATATTGGATGGTTTTGAGTGTGATACAAGAATATACAGTTATTGCTCGAGCTATGACAATATTATTGGACGGACAAGTCTAATATTGTCTTAGCAAATGAGTGAATGACAGAATAACCATCCTATTTCATGAATGATGAGTAACTCTGTTCATCAACATCCATGGTAAACCTCTCCAAACTTAGAAAGATAGTCAAGCTCATTCCTAAACGGAACTGTGGCCATCAAAAATAGCTTTGTCATTTGACTTTTGACAGTGTGTTTATCATTTTCTCAATTTCTGTGACAACTGATTGATTGATTGATTAATTGATTTATTCGTCCACAATGTGGAAATATCCTTCCCACCAGAATTACAATAATACAAGAAACAGAGTACAATAATATGAAACATGCAAAACAATTAGATCTAACTGTTAGATGGGACCATGGATATCGACCATCGGAAATACATCACCCCAAAGACCCACGGCAGAACACGGGGGCATGACCACCAATTCCAGCTTAATCACACGAGAACTGATGTCCATGCAAACTCGTTCTTCCCAAAAACCACGAAGGAATGGAACAACCTACCGTCTTCAGTAATTTCTGCCAAAACTACCTCTGCATTCAAAGCAGAGCTGTTCATTTTTTTAAAACCCACAAGCCAAAAGTAACTGACCACTCAAAGCCACACCTCCAGTTAAAATTCCCTAGTGGAATGTTCCGGAGGAATCCAATCCAAGATCCAAGATCCAAGATCTAGGCAAACGATTTCGAAACTAACAAAAATCTTGACCTTTCACAGAAATGAGTGATGTCACTGAAATTCATCATCAAATGACTCTCATTTCACTCCATAAACATCAGCAAAGCATTATCATTACAATCAAAAGTTTCTAGTATCCCAAAATAGTACAAAATATAATCTTTAAATCTTAAATTTCAATTCATTAAAAGTATAACAACAAGAGAGCTGCTGAATGTTTCACTACAGTCCCACATGTTAAGAAATGGGTTGTTAATCACCATCTTTTACAGTAAACGAGAAGACGGCGTCTAAAATTACAAATAAAATTAAAAAAATAAAATTACTTTATTAATCTATTCCTCTCATGATTAACATATTTCCTAATTATTAGTTTTATAGCAAAAATTCAAAATTACACTTACCAAGTTAGGTTTGGGGTGATTTACAACAAATGATTTGCACGAGCTCAACGTCTCTCTTCACACAGCGTTGATTCACTAGTCTATAGGCCTACACTGCTACAGCATTGATTTACTGCATTCTACGAAAATGAGTTCCTAGCTTCATCACTTTGTACGCCTATTACGCATTGGTTGGTATTTGAAGTTTTCAACAATTTTGGTGAATAAAGGGCGCGGTCGGGTATTTTTAAAAGGCCTAAACAAAATTGACGTTTTTATTTATTTCAGCACTAATTGGACTTATATTTCGCTATTAGTTACAATAAACGTCAGAAGTAAATAACAGGGGTAGATTTTTCGTACCAAAAATTACTTCTTAAAAATCAGGCGCCGATCGAGTGCCAAATATTTGGTCGTACCCCACCCCCAAACGCAAATAAAAAGAAGAGAGAAAGAAACTAAGAAAACATTAAAGATAAGGAAAACGCCAATAACTGACGTTTGTATTCATTATTAGATCATTGGTCAGTAAAGTATCAGACAGGTAATCATATCGCTGATGCTGTTTGGGTACAACTTTTACATAAATTTTGAAAAGAATTCCTGCAGTGGGGCACGGGGCAAATTTATTATGGATACTCAGATTTGGTAATTGGACGGGGTGTGCCGCTCAAGCCTCGAAACCCCTATCCATTATAAGGGGTCATTTGGGGTCACTGATTTTTCTCGAAAAATACCAAGTTATCACAATCTTGGGGTGATTTTTAGGCCGTGTTTGCATGGCACCCGGAATTCGAAGTTGCAAAATTTGAAAAACGGACCCATTTCGAATGGTATTATTGTTAAAGGTGGGACCCATGTTTAGGGATTTTTTGGGCGGTGAAAAAGTGACCCATTGGAGCGGCACACCCCGTATGTCCTAATATATGAATTACAAAAAAAAACAGAAAAACAATTAAAGGTAATTTTGAAAATTGGGTGGATATAGGATTCTTTACAATTTTGATATGTTTGGATGCCCATGTGGATGTATTATAAGCATTAGAACATTTAGCCCCTAAAACACTGCTTTCGAGAAAGATTGAATACAAAAATTTACCGGGGCTTCCGGTAAATTTTGATAAATTTAAAATAGCACAATGGTAGCTGCGACCATGAAAATCTCAGAATGCAGTTGTGATATATAAATTCCAAACGGGAATAGTTAATCGGTCGATTTTAGTCAAAAAACATTGTTTTATAGCTTAATTAATATCTTGACCTTGAGAGGGAGCTATACAACATCCAGAGTGTATTACTTACAATTTCATAACTTTAGACTCGATTTCAACCGCGTCAACGATCACTGAATATTGCCGATTGCATATGTTTCCAATATGTTCATTTGAACCAAATTCATGACCCCATACCAAAACTGCTATGTATTGTTAGTGCTGAAATTCGATGAATACTCAATATTACTAATTTTACTATTTTTTTTTATTGCCTTGTTAAGAAATGCAAGAACGCCATTCAATGTGTAAGAATATACTTTGGTTTAAAAAAAAAAGAAGATATAGTGTCCAGTAGTATTGTCCCAAAAATCCTGTTAATTATAAAGTACCCTAATGTTTACTAGCCTGACGAGATGCCTAGTTTGAGATGCACTTAAAAGCCAACCCAGGCCCAAAATCCAGTTGAAACCAATTGGAGCAAAACCAATTGAAACCAGTTGCCAACTGGTTTCAATAGGGAAATTGGAACAACTGGTTCCAATTGAAACCAGTTGCCAACTGGATCCAATTGAAACCAGTTGAAACCAATTGCCAACTGGTTCCAATTGAAACCAGTTGAAACCAATTGCCAACTGGTTCCAGTTGCCTAATTGGTTTCAACTGGAACCAGTTGTTCCAATTTCCCTATTGAAACCAGTTGGCTTCAACTGGTTTCAATGGGTTTCAACTGGTTTCAATTGGTTTCAATTGGATCCAATTGAAACTTACAGTTGGCATAAACTTAATTAGTTATAAGTTAATTAGCTCTTGCAAAGTTGCACTAATTATCGCTCATGTCAACACAGAAGCATTGCTATATGTGTCTACATTAACTACAATGTAAAGGGCATTATAATATGCAGGCCATATAATATACTTAACAAGTAAGGCATTGCCATTATATATGTTTGTATTTGATGTATTTTGTACATGGTTAGTGTTTTACCAATCAACTTTTAATCTGTGTAATTACAAAAATATGTTACTAATGAACATGCTTATCATTGCTAATTAATCTTTATATTTATCTAAAACAAATGCATTACTTGCAAATGAAAATTAATTAATAAATACATTGTAAATCAAAATAAATTACATAAAACATTGATCTGCACACAAGCAGATAATATGCAAATTAACTGGTTTCAATTGGATCCAGTTGGGTAACTGGAAATATTTCCAATTGGAACCGATTGGGTAACTGGAAATGAATTCTAACTGGAACCAGTTGGGTAACTGGAAATTACTTCTAACTGGAAATGAATGCTAACTGGAACCAGTTGGGTAACTGGAAATGAATTCTAACTGGAACCAGTTGGGTAACTGGAAATGACTTCTAACTGGAAATGAATGCTAACTGGAACCAGTTGGGTAACTGGAAATGAATTCTAACTGGAACCAGTTGGGTAACTGGAAATTAATTCTAACTGGAACCAGTTGGGTAACTGGAAATGACTTCTAACTGGAAATGAATGCTAACTGGAACCAGTTGGGTAACTGGAAATGAATTCTAACTGGAACCAATTGAGTAACAGGAAAATCATATCTTACTGTTTCCAGTTGAACTTCTAACTGGAAACAGTTGGGTAACTGGAAATGACTTCTAACTGGAACCAATTGAGTAACTGGAAAAATTATCTTACTGGTTCCAGTTGCACTTCTTATTGGTTTGAACTGGAAATGAGTACCTATAACAATATTTTCCAGTTCGGCAATTGGTTTCAACTGGAAATGTTCTATTCCAATTGAAACCAATTGAAACCAATTGAAACCAGTTAAAACCAATTGAAACCAGTTGGAGATTTCAACTGGTTTCAATTGGATTTTGGTCCTGGGAAGTTTATATCTTTATAATCCTTCCCCATAGAAAGACCAAGTCCATTCATAATCCACTTCTCAGGAAAGACCACCTCTAATATGTTTAAAAACCTTACGTAGAACTACCAAGTAGTCCATTGTTCTGGCGGGCCCATTATGCCTTTGTTTCGGCGGCCCTCGACATAACGTCTTTGTCCCTTTGACACAATGTAACCTACCCTAATTTTATTTGTATCCTTCTGTGTAAATATTACATGTTCTGGCTTTCTGGAAAAGAATGGAGTTTTTATCACCACTAGATCAAGACTATTCTAGCTGGCTCTCGATCTCTTCATCTCATGTTTTACATGATATGTGGAAGTTCATATATTATAATGATGTGACTGATTTGATTCTCCGAAGTTTGGAAATAATAAATACTCTTAATAAATGACTCCGGAATTAGAAGTCTCTCTTCATTTGTGTGTACCACCCCTACTGCAATACACCGATCCCAATACAATAACAGGAAGCAAAATCAATTAAAATGTGTTTTACCCGTAGACATTTTCTTACATCGGAAAAGTAATGTCACTTTATAAAGGGACACTACGAAAAGCAGTGTCGTATAATTTATAGAGAAAAGGGGTTAAAGAGCGCCATCTTCAGAGCAGTGATTGAAACCGGAATATGAAATGAGTCTGATTTTGAGAATACGAATGTGAACAATTGAAATGAAATACAGTTTGTATGGCTTCTGATTTTGACAATTATTATAAATTATGGCTGCTGACTTGCTTGAAAATGCTTCTTTTAGCTGGCCGTTGTTATAGTGTTGTTCTTGTTATTTTCTTTTTCGTTTTGTTTGAATTGCACTATATTTAAAATATTGATTTCAGGACAGACACATTTCATCCGGAGGCACGTACTAGCCTACCCATGATATTGGTGATATTGGGGAAATGAGGAAAAATATGGCTTTTCCATCTCGAAAATCGACAAACATAACATTACGAGTGATTAAATTGATAAGAACGCCTAAATGGAAAGAAACTTCATTGATCAATCTTTTATTGATTACAAAAAAAGTGCTAAGGAGATATTAATTTTCAAAAAGAAAAAAATGATATTGACACAATCATTTCATGAAAAGAGGTGGGAAGGCTTATTCCGACGTTAGGAGTAATAGTGTATAACAACCATTGGTGTATCAAGGGTGTGTTTTGGGTGTTCAAACATCCCCCCCCCCCCCTTGGCAAAAGGGGGTGTTTTATAATGCTCATGGGGGACGATGGATGTTGAGGGGGGGGGGAAGGAGTGTTCACTCTCCCCCCCCCCCCCCCCGTTGAGCCCCCCCCCCCCCAAAAAAAAAAATACAACAACAACAACAACAACAACTAGTGCTTACCCCTTCCCATATCTCTCTCTCTCTCTCTCCCTCTTTCTCCCTCTCCCTCTCCCTCCCTATCTCCGTTCTCTCTCTTGCCCTCTCTCTCTCTCTCTCTATGTCTATCTGTCTGTCCGTCTCTGCCTCTGTCTGTATGTCTGTCTCTCCTTCGCCCTCTCTCCCTCTCTCTCTCTCTCTCTCTCTCTCTCTCTCCAACGCGTTCCAGATCTTGATATCTAGCCAGGAAGTATGCACCTCACGACCTTTGATCCCAGAATGTTTGTGGTTGCCAAGGGGATGGATTGCCAGCCAATAGATTATACCGGTAGGTACCCAACACCAGATCGTTACTAGTACCGCGACCAAATGCAAACATTCCAAACAGGCAAGCGATAATATTTCTAGTACCAATGTAATCATACAACGTATACTGATTGAGGAAACTTCTCAACTATCAGTAAACATTTTCATTCGATCTGAATTAGCAGCTGTGAATACTCTACCGCTTGCAAAATAACCTCTTCGGTTTTTCATGAACTGCAAATAAAATGATTTTGGGCCAAATTTGGATTTAGTTTTGAGGATCATTAGAGCTTCGAGACTGTCTGAGTTATCCTGACTACATTGTTGCAACGGTTTTTGAAGCAGACGGCAAAACTTCAA